TATTACTCGCTAAAGAGTCGACAGGCTTCTCGTCTCTATTGGGCCGATAGCTTTTTGAGGCGTTCAGCGAACAGTTTTGACGGATAAATATATTATTGCATGAACGGTAACTGCGAACTCATTGTATCAATTGCAAAAGAGTTTGAGCTTCATAATGAAAAGATTATTCTGATGAAGAACAACTACGTAAAGTATTTGCTTAAAACGCAGATGTGACAGATGTGGCAAGCAATGCACGAGTCCTAGCCGCATCCTCAGTTTGCAGGAAAGCCCAGATATTTTCTTTAAAGATAGACATAACCAGGAATAGCCAAAAAAATTAATTTTGTAGAAACGAATGAAGATTTACCTATCTTTCCCTGGCGTTATATTTATGGTTTGGGCCATTCAATGAGCTTTTTTCTAACATGTCAATAATGCATGAACTTCTATTCGGTCCATTTAAACATGGCGTTTAGAAAACGTTGAAAACAATTCAGAGTATTAGTGCTCTACTATAGGAGAGCATAACATCGTCCCGTGGGTTTCACACTGGATGAGACCAACGCCACTGTATTTATTTACTACCGAGAAAAAACTCGCATACAAGTGGAGCTGGCACAGCAATATTTGTCCTAGAGAGGTCGTTTTATAACCATGGTTGTTTGTATCATTTCGCACTCTCAACAATCGCTCTAAAACAAATATATCTGATGGTTAGGCATTGAGAAGATAATGTTCTGAATAAGTTACACGTCATGTTTAAAACATTTATTCTTAAATCAGGTGCTGTGGTAGACGTCGTTGTGGCCTTGATGCTTTTAAGCTCTTAGTTTGGGCCTCTTCCTACACTGCATGATATATCGTCTGATATGCTTTGTTACATTGCTATTTAAAATAACGGGGACCTCCAACTGTTATTAACTGAACGCTTTAGTGAGCAGCCACAGTCTAAAAGCACCAGTGGGGATCAATTGTTTTATATTATTTAGCCTAGTCATCAGTGTACGTTGCTGAATACTTTGCACTTGTGTTAAGAATTCTGCGTGAGCACAAGAACCAAAAAGCGTAGAGAGGATTAAGTTTGGTCAACCACGGTGACGTTTATTTCGGTAACATACAGTCACATATTCCATTTCTGAACAACAGAAGATAAGACGACACCGGGAAACGTCATCCGTTCACAAGTAAGTTGCTGTCGCATGCACACATTCATAAATTGTCCTAAAAGAACCTAATCATGTGCCATATTTAGATTGAAAATTATGTGGGTTGGTCACATAATCTATAGTACTATTGGCTTATACAATAAAACTGGAAACCTATATTCTGGATTTGCGTCAAGTTTTATGACGCAGTATATGAACAGTGGTCTTATGTAGGAACAATGTACATGGAATACAACAATGGGGAAGAGACAGCTTCCGTACACTCTGTAGATATGTGAAGATGATACAATTTCGTTTATGAATAAAGTTTCTTCGCAGTGTTGAATAACGACTAATATTATTTCATTAGTCGCATTGCAAATGATGTTTCATAAATTGTGCAAACGCGATTTGAGTGTGTCCTTGGGAAAGCATTATTACTTATAATTTATCAATATTCGCACGTCTTGTTGTTCTGAACTGAAATATCACTTACCAAAAAAAAGTACTCCTTCTGAGGTGACTACTGAGGGAGTACATTTTTCTTGCTATAATGACATGACACTACAGATAAAAACAGTCCTGTTTAAAGAAAACCATGATGCAATGTGAATTACATTATGAATAATGTTATGGTTTCTCATTCTTTCACTAATGAAATAACTTAAAATAACGCATAAATAAATACTCACTAGATACTACTCTAACTTGATATGTTACGCTTCTGACTACAGTATAATTCAATTTCGCATTTGCTGTTAAACATAGTGGTGGCCGATTTTTTTTACTAATGATATTTTGTGCGAAGTGGTCATGTTTGTGCCTAGATATGTTTTTTTCGCGTTTCAGGGTTTTCTGTACTTTACGTCTCACCAAAGGTGTACTTGATACAGTGGAGGCTACTTCATCTATACAAAGCGAATCATTCTTTTTTGATATTTGTAATTTAAAAGCTTTTTCGGCCACTTTTCCGCTCCGGGAATTTATTTGCGTGGACCAGTTGATTAACACTCACTGCTGTATGTGGATAGTCGACATGACAGAAGATAAATCATCAATGAAGTTTGTGTCTAAACATTCATAGGTCTATATCTAGAACACTATTTCCAGTAAATACAATAATCAATCCATTTAAATGAGCTCAGGCTCTACGTCATTATTCGAAGCATCCAACTACTTCACTATCAGAACGCTTAACAATATAGGCTCATAGCTCAATATATTTTTCTTTTTGTTGAAAAGTGCTGCGTACTTTTTAAATGTGGTAGAATATCGTTTCGTCAATTAAAGAGTGAAGTCCCGCTAGCCCTGCACAGTCGGCTCTCTAAACTGTCTTTTAATGTGTTATAAATATGATACTTCAACAGATTTTATTGTCTGAGCTCAATATTTAACATATATTATAATTCTCAATGTTTGCTCAAAATACATTTTTAACTCTATTGTATCTTGACATCTCATATTTAACGACTACTGAACACTTGGATATGCTTCATTGGAAAAGCGCTATACGTTACTTATGGTGCGCACCATGTCAGGCATATTTTGCATGCATCAAAAGTTGATGATTATGAAATCCACTTGCAGGTCTGTGAGTGAGATATGCAGTAACGTGACAAGAGAGACAGTGCTACCACTGATGAACATACGCACAATACGCCATTGATATGAAGTGCATTGTACGGTGAATACTTCTCTGTACATTTTACAGCCAGTTAACAAAAGTCCCTTTTCGTTCCACAAGGCACTAGACTGAACGGGTGAGTTTGGTCCACAAGCGTAGTCTTGTAGGCCAGTCGGGTCCACAAGCAGTCTTGTAGTCCAGTCACACCCACAAGCGTAGTCTTGTAGGCCAGTCAGGTCCACAAGCGTAGCCTTGTAGGACATTCAGGACCACAAGCGTAGACTTGTAGGCCAGTAAGAGCCACAAGCGTATATAGGTCAGTCAGGTCCACAAGCGTAGTCTTGTAGGCCAGTCGGATTTACAAGCGTAGTCTTGCAGTTGTCCGGTATGGCACTGCTCAAAAAACATATATAGAAACATTTATGAAATGAATTTACACATCAAGCGTAAATATTTGCAAATATCAAGTTGGAAGTTTAGCTATCATTTTTTTAAATCTAAAACTTTTGATTATGGAGCCATAGCGAATATTTGTTCAAGGTATTTGTGACTTTACTGCACATTTTTCTCCGTATTAGTGCCACGTATGACTCAAACTCTTAGGAACGTAAGGGTACACTATGGGGTTCGTTTTTTGAGGTCTAAAACCTGTGTGTAACTTTTTCAACCGCTCCTATTGGTCTAATAATGTGCTCATTGTATCGCGTTGCCACTTATCTATGTTGTGTAGAACCAACGATCACAATGTGACTGTAAACGGTTCTAGCAAGTTTCTGATGGGAGCACAAGAAGAGAGCATTCTCTGGTTTTGCATTCCTCTGTTTTTGTTCTCCCGTCTAAAACTTTCTCGAACCCTTCACTTTAACATTAAGCACCAACTGCCCAAAAAGCGCACCGCTCAACTACTACAAAATTTACGTTTTAAATGTAGATAAACTTGTGCAGAGGCAACCATGGAATTAGAAATGGCGTTTTGAAATGATCATAAGGGACCATAAGTTTTGCCATGTTAGTGAAACATTTCAGCATATATCTTGCGTTTGTATACAGTGTACGCATGAGACTGTCAGAAACCGGTCTCCTCTATTGGAATATATCAAAGTAGACCACAATTCCATGAAGTTCTGTAGGCCTTTAGCCCGACGTAAGCAGCGCCAATGTGGTTATTAGAGAGGTAGCCTTTTTACAATCAACTTAAATGGATGCACAACTTTCAATTTGCCCCATTTTAGTGGAATTATAATCTCATTCCCCTGCACTATATATATAATTATATAATTATAATATATATATAATTAAAATATATTATAACTATATATATTATAAATATAACTATATATAATTATAATATATATATAACCGTTCGTTAACCTTTCGTTCTCCTATTCGCGCTACGCAGTGTGGAATATCAGGGCAGCAAAAACCGTCACTTAGTCCGTCCTCTCTGCCTCTCAGTAAATAAATTCTCTCTGTTCTCTGTGAATTTTCAAACAATAAACTTGTTTAGGTAGACGATTATGTCATGCAAGGTGAAGACAAAACAATAATTATTATGAACCAGCACGTCCTGTCCAATTCTTGACCTTCGACTTCGCTACCAGAGCCCGTGCGTTGGCTTATTTTGCGTGAGGCGCAATAACTTTTTGCGCTGAACAGTATCATAAACAATGGCAGAAACATGTTGAAAGGCACGAATGCAAATACACAGAGATAGAAAGGTGTATACACAAACGAATGCAAAAAAACAGTTAGAAAAAGAGAGCGAGAGAGTAAGAGAAAAAGGAAGAGAAGGAAAGGCTCAGAGAAAGTGACCGAAACGGAAGAAATAGAAGAGATGGAGCACGAAAGAACAACAAAGACCTACAAGAAACAAAGTCGCCTAGCGCGTCTTCATTGCCGCTTGAAAGAAGTACATAAACGAAGCTCCTTAATTAATTCTTTTTCACTTGTACTGCTTGTAAGGCGATTCACGGCCACATCTTGGTTCCTTTACATTAGAGTGGCGTAACACAAAGCGACGTTGAAGGTAGAAGAAATTGTTGAGAATGTGTTGTTGATTACATTAATCAGCTCTACGCATGTCATACTTTATATTGATGACGAATATTATACGTAGTTGCTGGAGATTTTGTTCTGGAAATAGCTAAACACAGGCCTACGGGAGTGATAGCTGCGGCCCGTGGCTGCCAGCGCGTCTTTCTTTGTCAGTTTTTTATAATAAACTTGCGGAAACTTACCCCGTAAGTGAGGATGGTGACAATTTCAACACTGGTCCAGCGCAGCGCAATGCTTAACGCTGCCCATTTACACAGTGTTCCTCGTCGGCAGCGTCTCCGTGCACACACGGGTGCGGTGGTCCTTAAGCCTGACTATTGTTGGCCGGGGCTCGCTGTTGTTTTCTGGTGGCTCCTCTGGAGGGCTGGATAAACCTCCCGGCTGGAAGCGACGGCAGGTAGTGGCGACCAACAGCAGAATGATGGCAGCGAAGAGCACGAACACAACCTGTAAACGAACGAATACAACGCAATGCCATCTGATGAAAAAGAAGGTGTGTAGGTTTCCCGCATCAAGCCCATACCATTTTTCTTACTGTGAAATATCCCCGAGAGCCGAAGAAAGCAAATTTCAAGGGGAATGTTTTTTTTTTGTTTTCTTGGCGCAACTTTTTAAGAACTAAAAGAGAGGATAGTAATATTAGGGGATGTTATTTGTAGTCATCATCATCAGCCTGTCTGCGCCCCTTGCAGGGCAAAGACGTCTGCCGTGTTCCGCCTATCAACCCGGTCTTGTGCTTTCTGGTGGCACGTTGTACTTGCAAAGTTTTTTAAAGCTAGTCTGTCCACCTAACTTTCTATATTCCCCTTGCGCGTTATTCTTCTATGGGAATCCAGTGAGTTACCCCTTCTTAACCTTTTTACTTTTTTATTTCAATAGAAGAACACTTTTGCTTCAACAAAATTTGTTGTCAATGTGACGCAAATACGAAGAAGATAAACCAGACTAAACTTGCCGCCGTCAGAAACTGAACGTGTTCCTCTCGAGTAATACGTTCTTAAAGTTCTTACGTCATCGATGTACGTAATACATAATTTTTTGTTTGCAGAAGTCCCGAAGTGCTTGCTTTCTGACGCCGCCAGGATAAAAATTGAGTGTTCCACACTCTCTGTCATGGCTGCTAGAGGCTGTGACTAACACTCCAATAGGTGTCAGTGCAGATTATATATCCTAAAGGTACAGGGGCAAGACCACCACCAAAATTCAGTTGGTAAGACTTCAGACGCGTTATTCGAAAGTTGTAGATTCATTCCCTGCTGGTGGCAAGTTGTCTCTTTGTTCATCTTACTTTCGTTATATTGGTATCACAATTATTACAAATCACATGACCTATACTTTATTTGCTTTTATAGTCTTAGTTCTAAGGAACCAAATGTATTTTTGAGCTTTTGTCGGAGCTTTGCAATAGTACGCACCAAAACGCATTCTTTACATCGTTTATAGCAGATCACTTGAGCCACGCTTCATAACACATATAAACCTTACAAAACGGACGGTTCGGAAACATATTGCGTGGTGATACGTCTCTCTCCGCTTTTCTGAAAGCAAAATGCTTCCGTTCATAATATATAACTGAATGAAATTTGATAATGAAATTGTAAACTAAACAACACGCCATGTAATTTATCCACGGCCCTATATCGCGCAAGTCATACGAAACATGCGCGGTGGACGCTTTGCGTACCAGTACATCCCTATGATGCATGCCAGTATTGATGCCACGCGATGTTTTAACATTGATGAGGAATGATCAAGTCAGTCAATAGGCCATACTGCCGCGAATAGTTTTGTCGGCTAGTTTTGTGCGTGCCGATTATCATGATTCGAGACAATGATATGATACTCGTCGCAATTTATTTTGATGATCGTGGCATCACCCTGTTGTCTACGAGACACTTCAAGATTGTTGGCGAATATACTATAGGCGCTTTTGGGGCATATCTTTAATGGTCACAGCAACCTTTAAATTTAACCCGGGTAATTACAACGGGAAATCTGTTCCTCGACGGCCACAGATCACGTTGTTCGCCGCTAGCGATGCCGAGTTGTGCAGTTTCTCTCAGTGAGTGCAAGTATGCTTATTAAACAGAACATCTTCCATTTGACAAGCCTCCAGGTTTTTGGGTTGCCGTCACGGCTACGAGACCATGTGAATAAAATTAGAAAGAATCGTTCAACTATTTCTCAGTGATTACATAATAAAATCCGGAATGCCAAGCCTCAGTAACATTCTGATAATTCATTTTTATGATAATTCGTTTTTATGATATTGCCGCAAATATACATCACAGACTCACCATGTTTTTTATGTAATGTTTATTAGGACAATTCTTGAGAAACTTCAACATTTGCCATTACAGTGACTTTCCCCCTCTGTCTTCGGTTCGCTCACAAAAATTTAAACTAATTAAGCTGGGATTTATCAGTACTGTGTACTTTTTACTTCCACGAACTGTATTCTGGAGCCTTTGGTATTCTCCTGAAAAAGAAATCGTGTCTTTTATGTTAACAAAAATTGCTTATTTTTTAGATGTTTGGCACGTTACCACTTTTATGAAAATCGGATGATGCTAAAAGATGTGGATAACGTCCGTACGCGTGTTTTTTTTTATTATTAGGCCAGGCGAAAAGCTAACACCGACTTACCAACAGTGTACTGACTCGTTAATGTAAAATGCAGGACACGCTTTGCAGTGCTGGCAAATTATGTTCATGCCTACGCGGATGTACTTAGTAATAACGGTATAAATTTTTTCAAACCCTGTTTTTATGTTCGGTTTATGGCACAATAACAACGGGTCAGTGGCCTATCTATCTAATTAAAAATTCTCATTATCTTCCAGTTTCTTTATAAAAGCATGCAACTAAATGCCGAAAGCGAAAATACATCATCTCAGAGAGCACACTTACACTGACATAAACGACCGCATCGATTGGCTGGTCCAGCCTGGTGTGATGGGTCCGACGCACGCCATGATGGCGAAACGGAAAGTTGCTAAGCGGCATCGAACCTCCGCTTAGTTGCGCACCTGTGAGAAAAGCAGACAAAAAAGCTTACTTTTTGAAGCACTCCTATGGGCAACACTCATCCGAATTCGTCATCGTCTTCAGAAAGTTGCCAACGTCATGCCGCAAGAACCACGTCATTCTTTCTTTTGCACAAAAAAAATACAAATACAATATTCAAAACTTCGCACCACAGGTCCGTGTAGAAGAATCGAACTTCTTGGACATGTAATGTTCACTTGTTGTGAACATTAGTGAGCTTCAAGGGCAACTCTATATTACTGCGAATGCTTGTTGCACAGGAACTCGAAAAGGATGTGACTTGTTCCCGGGACACAGTTTGTCTTTACACAAGACAATAGTTTACCGCATAAAATAAGGAGGGTGGCAAAAAACAAGAAAGAAAGTAAAGGCAAAGATTTTATCCTATCTTGTGCCGGCATGATATCATGCACAGGAGGAGGAGATGGTGGAGATCGAAGGAAGAGTAAAGAAAGAAAGAAAGAAAGGCAGGGAGAGTGCACAAAAACACGCAGCGCCAAGGAGCTCAGCAGCATTCTTGTGAAGTATACGTTGCCATAACGAGTATATAACCCCTTGTACACGTCTGTTGTCCTAAATAGTATTAGGAAAACAGGTGAATTTATGTATTGCGTATTATTTATTATAGAGAAATAACAATGAAGCATGTGCTTCAGCTACAACTGTACTTCACTTTGCAAATAAGCAGCTTCAAGGTTGTTTTACGGACACTGAAAGATCAGTAGGAGGCTTTGCAAGCAAGATAGCACCTCTCTATAACACTGATTGGCACCATTGAATGTTGGCTGTTACGTGAGGACATGTACTGACACTTAACGCTTGGATACTATTACGTAGTGCCAGCTGCTATTACCAAATTTCGCTTAGTGAAAACTACTGTTGTTCTGTGGCTTGTGAGGGCTTGTGTGGTGAACGTGTGCTACTACATTTGGTGCATTTGTGAGCCGCTTGTGCTTAGTACACCATACACCTTACACGCAAATGCTGCCATCGAGCATAACTGCAGAAATAGAGCTAACACTTTCCCATTCATTCGCTAAAATATGTTGTGATTATAAAGAGGTGCCTGGCAGATACCTTTTGGCCAGACTCTGCTAGAAAAGAGTTTTCTATTATTTCGCTTACGTCTTTACGATTTATTTAACTTTTCGTTTTAGAGTTTCTTTCGTATACTGAGTCTTCCTTCTTTTTCTCAGTTTTTACGGTGTTTCGTGTTATTTCGTGCAGTGATTCCGGGGGCACCAGGACCCGAGAACCCAGCGTGTCTCTTACATTGTAAGTTTCGGGAGTTGTTGTGTTTTACTCCTCTAAAGTTCTACGTTTCACTTTCTATCAAAGAACATTATTCTTCAGTAGGGAACACAGCGGGATACTTTCTGAGAAGCTGCCACAAACATCCCAGCTGTTTACAGAGCATTATCACGACCCCCTTGGAGGCAACGCTTACTACCAGATCGAAAACTGTGTGAATGATGGCATGTGTGGTTAGAAGCTTTACAGCACCAGTCGCTTTCACAGCACGAAGCCTTTTGCGCCAGAGTAAGGGCACAGCAGGAAGGTTTGCTGATGCATTTGCAAAAAAAAAAAGGCACTTGTTATATACAGCTGCACTATCATGTACGAAACAATGTGTCAGTTGATATAGTGTCGGCACAACTACAGAAATGTGTGCGTATCAATGCTTCATTACAGTGTGAACTTGTCAAGAAAACTGTATATTACTATGGGTTATTCACTTGTTTCATCTTGCTGCTATGTGATTTGTAACTGCCCCATGTTAACTTGGGATGCCTTTTGTTACTTTTTTATGATGCAGAAGTTTGAGATATGAATAGACGAAGTTATATGAACCTCATTGTTTCCTAAGCAAGATAGTTATAACAGAACAGAATTTAACTCTGCAGCTTTGAATATGCGCACTGTGCTTTTTCGCGTCCACGTGAGCTTGACCAGACGCACTATTTTTGTCATTAACTTCACTTCACCATTTTTTTTATCTTTGACTTCCCTCGCAGAGCACTACCACCAATTTGTCTAGGGCGAAGCGCAATAACCTTATGGGCCAGAGAACGTGGGCAGAGAGATACATACAGAGGCAAAAGAAAAACACGCGGTGAGGAAAGAGACAAATGTTTAGTGATAAATTGCTTAATGAGATGTGATTCAAACTTGAGACATTTGTGCTATCGAGGAATTTTGTAGGATTCGAACCAAGTCCCTTAGTGCTGTTGATAGTAGTTTTTTTTTTCCTGGCAAAGCTCAATTACTCCACTAAAATCGTGCATGTGTATGCGAAAACATTTGCGATGACTTCATATTGCAACAAACAGCGTGAGAGCTTGCTTAAATCTTTTTTGGTATGCAACATAGTTGTTTTTAACATATTCCAAAACAGTGCACTAATTGCATCGTTCGCGCTCTCAGCTTTTTCATTTGTCTCAAGTTACGTGACATTTATGTGGACGCACCCATTGCGGCAATGCCATATTATTCATACCAATCTCTCAAAGCTTCGATAGTTTCGGCAAGAACGTGGGTGGAAGCCCGCATCTTCTAGACGTCCTGACCGCCCCGCATTTTCGTCTGAAGGGGCTTGACACCGCATTGTTCATAATTATATCCTTGGTTGTGACAACCTATCATTTTATCTGGATGGCTCGCAAGAAGCGAAAACCTCATGAAACGTAGAGCAATTTACTTGCACGAATTCGACGGACTGAGAATGAAACGCTAAGATGCGAAGTAAGCGCGGGCGTCTCTCACAATCTATTCCACTGAAGCGTGCTCGTGGGCGGTAGAGCATATGCAGTAGTTCGGAAATATAATTGATCCTTAGCGAAGGATGGCTGGGATATATGTGTCACAGACACGCTGAAACAATCGCAAAAAGTTACCGTGCAACAGAACATTCATACACAAAATTATCCACTATGTGCCACAGTTTAGACTCGCCACAATCATACGCGTTGACAGAATGCCATCTATTGTTCTTTTTAAACGGGTGTTACTCGTAGTGTCAAAATATTTCATTTTATGTGACCCGATGTTGCGACATTCAGTGTGCAGCCATCGTTATTACATCGGCATGCTTTGTGATTGTGCGTGATTGCTTTGAATAAAGAGAATGTCAGCGTAGCCCGAAAGCCTGCTCGTTAAAACCCATGATGAAGAGGGTCGCAGCAACAACTGATGTCTTCATTTTTTACGGTGTTAGTATACGTTTTCGATTCCAACATTGCCCCGCGACGTTGGTCTAGTGGCTAAGGTACTCGGCTGCTGACCCGCAGGTCACGGAATGGATTCCCGGCTGCGGTGACTGCATTTTCAATGTAGGCAAAAATGCTGTAGGCCCGTGTGCTCACATTCGGGTGCACGTAAAAAAAAAAACCCAGGTAATCGAAATTTACGAAGCCCTCCACTACGGCGTCTCACATAATCATATTGTGGTTTTCAGACGTTAAACCCCCCATATCAATCAATCAATAAATTGTGTCATTGACTTAGACTAAGCTCGCGTAATCAATGCTACACTCCTACATGGGTGCAAGCAAAAGGGGTGAATGTGTCTCGTCAATCATCGTTGTTGCGTGCTTTGTTATTGGCCTTGCGTTAGCACTTTGCCAGGATACCAGAAGGCTGAAACAAAGACCTGTTGGAGGCAGTACTGGCCTTGAAGTCAGTAATTTCGTGTGCTTTCGTTCATTGAAACTTATTGCCATATAGGTGCTACAAGGTTGCCAAGTGCCTCTTCTCACCGCAAAGAGCCTCTTATAGTGCAAGGGAAATGTGCTGGTCTCTGTGATAATTTTTCTGGGCTTACGTAATTCCTGTGTGAAACCCCTGCACCAATCTTTGGCCTTTTGGAGGCTGGTATACCAAATGCCCGATCGATTCGCTGTTCGTTAAATTCACTACGCTGTTCACGTAAACCAGGGCATTCCCTCGATTCCGCATGAAAGTGCAACTTTCTTAATTTGACGTGAAATACCACACACATTGTTCTCTCTGTTAAAGACCTTTGCTCCGATTCAGTAGAAGTATTCGCATTTTCATGCAAGTGTAATGTCGATGTACGCTAGCCTCCGAGAAAAAGGGGTTTTTTTTTTTTGAAATCTCTTATCAAAAATCACTACAGTCGTTGCCCTTCACCTCGGATTTCAAAGAAACTTCAACGCTTATCATTTTCTGTGGGTTGAAAAGCTGACATACACAGAAGAACGAGTGTTTCTTGAAGCTATAGATGCACGAACTCCAAGCGTGGCAAATTACAGAAAGATTCATCAGGCCCCCAAAATTCTAGCATTGTTATCGACCTCGTAATGCACTTAGCGCGTCTCATCGTTTCGTCAATCCAAGCTTTAGAACGAATGGGGAGCGATAATTTTCACAAGTTAAAAAAAATGTAGATGAATATAAAAAAAGTGAACGCAAGTACTCTTCTGCGACACAGTAGAACACTATCTGGAATTCCTTGAGGAGTGTATGGGAAATTTATTTGTTGAAACATTCCGCAGCGAGAAAATGGCCACAAAATCAGTCAAATTACCGCACCATTTTCCTGCTCCTGACCTAAAGCTACGCAAATTTTGTGCTGCTTGTAGGAAAACACAGCGTATGTTATTGGAAAAAGGAGGTAAACCAGAGCTGAAAAGAGCACAAAATAGAAGGAACACCTGGATCGTACAAGCACACTAAAGAAGCTAGGACGAAAAGAATGGGCTGCATTCTGTGCGAGATCCTCAGTGTTTGCCCCATGATCTCTAATGTGGGGAATTACTGGGACGTGTGCTGGAAAGACTTCTGCTAAAAACCTTTTAACTTTAGATTAACTATGGCAGGGTTAGCGGAAGAATTTGTGGATGCCTTTTCATTCCACAGTTCATCAGATGTCATGCTTTTCATGCCACCTCTGTCCTGTTTTCTTATGAATGCCACTTATACATTTCGGAAATTGGATTCAGCGCGTAGCAGCGTGCGAATT